ATGGTTAAAACTTGATCATCAGTCTGAATTTTATTTCACTTCTATAACTCAGTGAAACTCTAACCAATCAGCAATGACCCAAACACCTGTCTTGTCTATGTTGTTTTCAGTTGACATGGAAATTGTTTCTATTTTTTGCACATTTCAAAGAAATATGTCGATTTAAGAGTTTTTTTTTTATTTCTGTGGGTTAAATTACAACAACTTCATCCACACTTGAGGGCAGGTTAGTGGCCAGAAAAAGATGATGTTCCCATTATTAGTCCAGCCTACTGACCCCTGATTGGCTCACGTGAAGCTCAACGTGAGCTGCTCCGCCATTGCCATCTTGGCAGTGTCTGACTCCGCCCCCCCAACTCCCGGCTAATCCACAAATGCGCAAAAAGGTGTTTGTTTTTCAGCCCTGTAAGGGTGATGGTTGGTAGCAACAACTCAGATGTCGGTCCAGACCAGTGAGAGCTAGACACGACACCATCGCTCAACCCTGGTGGCCAATCGTGGTACTGCAGTGACACAGACGCATTCTCCACATAGACCGTCATTATAAGAGAGATGACTCCAATACAGCTGGAGCCTGTAAACAAGCTCTCTTTGTTTTATGATATTTCTAGGTTTATGTGCATCACAATATAAAGTCTATGGGCTGATAAAAAAAAGAAAAATCACCAGCTGTTGAAACACAAACTGCATCAACCGAAAACCTAAAATAAATGAAGCCTCAGTCGCTCCCATGCTGTTGGGTTTAAAGTGGCAGATTAACACATCTCTCCTGTGTTACTGAGCAGCAGGTTCAGTAAACAGCAACTAATACTAATGTTTTACATAATAACCTGAGTATTTACCACTAATGTGAGCTCAAGCAGATGTGGGAACGGTGACATTACTGTGGTCAGACAGCTAATAAAGACACATCGTCACAACACACAATCAACCCAACTAATCAGTTCAGAGTTAGAAAAGGACGAGTTCAGCTGTATTGAGGCAGAGCAACTGTCGGACCCTCGTGAGGTCATCAGCCAACATATGAGGCGTATACACCGTTCACAGCTGGTGCTTTAAATGCAGGCGTCAACAAAACAGCAGATGTGTGATGATGATACAACAGTAAAAACAAAAAAAAACACAGCGTGAGCAGAGTGATGGCTGCGGCGGTGTAGGGGGGGTGTTTCTCCGGGACCAGTTGTTCCAACACCATCTGGACTCCTGAACGGGCGTCTGTCCCGCTCGGGGATTGAAACCACAGTTTTAATCTGTGACCTGCCACTGCTGTGTGGGCGGCGTCTAATCTGAGTGATGGTGCATTTGACAAGCTGTTTCCACGGCTGTTTGCCCCCCCCCCCCAAGACTCTTTAAACATGACTTGGGGTAGCAGCACATCGTGTTTTTGAGATTTAGGAGGTGTCCATGTTGGCTCTTCTGCAAGCCCACAGTTACCCATAACACCCTTCTCTGCAATGATCTGCAAATACATTTATGTGCATCTTTGCAGGATAGTAATTCCAATCTTAGTCTTATTGGTTTCAACATAAAACAATCACCCCCCTTTTCCAAAACCTGCTTTTGGAAAAATACTTTTTGAGAATAAGGATTTGTTAGGGAAAGTTAGGGAAAGTTTCCCAAAGATATCATTAGTGTAAGAGAAGAGAGTTTGAAACCTAATTTCTGTGCTGACTAACTGTAAAAGACTATAAACTATAAATGTAGACAAAGAGACCCACTGGCCAAGAAACACTCAGATGATAAATGACCAAAACTGAAACCAGTATCCAGTTCAAACCAATCCTAGCCCTGGTTATGAGGCTGCTAATTTAGCAACTGCTTGGGGCCCCTTGCTGTTAGAGCCCCCCCTATTTATAGTCGTATCTATATTTGAAAATCCAAAATATTAACGTGACTATTTAGAATAAAAACAAGTCTAGATTTCGCACATTTTTCATTGGTGTCAAATTAATTATTACATAATTGTGATGAACTCTGATTGGAGGGGCCCCCTGCCATTCTTTGCCCAGGGCCCCAACAGACTCTAGAACCACCACTGTGGATAAGAGCCTAACCTCCACTTCAGCCTCTAAGATGAGCTTTGTGTTCAGTCTGCATCACCTACACCCGAAAATAAAACAAATTTCCATTTTTTAACTTACCAAAGTGTGATATATTCAAAAGACCCAAGTCAAAGACTTTCCCTAGAAAGGTACAGATAAACCTGCTGGGTGAAGTTTGACTGTAGGTGCATCTGACGTCCTCGACCTACACCCAGAAGCCTCGGCGCTCTCAGCGTTGTCCTTAAAAGTCACGAGTCCAAAGAAAGACACGCCACGTGGGGCGGAGGAGAGGGCACGCTCAAAGAGACGAATGAATGAGGGAGGGAGATGGTGAATAGCAGAAAAGCAGCCAGGAGCAACCTCAGCTCTTGATAAACACAAGATGACACACCAACCCCCCCCCCCCGACGTTTGCTTTTGTTTTGGTGCTCAGCTCGCAGCTGTACGTGTGTTTGAGTGCGTGTAAGACGTCGCTGGGGAGTTGTGGTTTTATCGTCTGAAGGATTTATTTAGTAAACCAAGATCATCTTTTTTTTCTGAAAATCCTTTCTCCTGTTTCCACAACATGTAGCATGATTCAATGTCCATCTGTTGTTACGACCATCAGACAGCGCGAGGGGTCAGAGGTCACCTTCTACATAAGATGCTCTAAAGGTCTGATGAAGGCTCATCCTCTTACAGGCTGCTGTAGTAGATCTAATGTGAGTCGCAGCTGTCACTCAACGCCTGATCTCAGTTACTGGATTTGTAGAATCTTTCATTTCTATTTTTTGTTTTCTTTCCTTTGTAATTTTTTTCATTTATACAGCGCCAAGTACGAAAAGCAGTTCAGTATTTACCTGTATGTATTTAAATGTTTATGTATTTCAGCTTGTACAGATCAGTATGAACCAGGTCTTTACAAAGTGTCGATATTTGTTGAAAAGATAGTTATATTTAACGTAAATATCTAAATCATTACTGACCACCAGAGAAGTCGCATCAGGAAACAAACGTAGGTCGTTTTAAGAACAAACAACTTGTTGTATAATGAGAGAGCATCAGTTCTTACTGTACATGAACATCCTCTGGGAACTCGTGACTTTCTAATTTTTGGTCTCTTGATGGTTGTGAGGTGACGTCAAACATTCGTCTCTCTCCACGCGTCCTCCCATTATCTCCCTCCTCTACCTGCATTGTAATTCCTCCTGCTCTGTAATGTCACTTGTGGCCTGGAGGCACCTTCCTGCCTCATGCGGTCCACAGCAGAGTGACTGGCATCTTTGTGCCAACTTAACAAAAGAGAGACCTGCAACAAAAGAAAGACCTTGAGGCAGCGTTTCTCTGGCTCTTTATAGCAGCTACAGACGGATGATGGAGTGACAGCGCTTTTCTTTTCTCTCTGCAGCTTTATCTCTCATGCACACTTCCCTCTGCATATCTGAGTGCCCGAAACTGCCAATTATATCAAAAGAAGGAAAACGAACGAGTGATTTAAAAACAGACGAATCATCAAAAGAATACAAACGATGTATGTGCAGCGTACAGGAATTGCGAGTGGGCGTTAGGGAGATAGAAGTCGGCATTGACTTTTTCTCTGGTGTTGGTGTTGGTGTTGCAGGATGAAAACACAGAGGATTATTTCACCTCATCACGAAGCTTCTTGTGTGTTCTCCCTGAGCGAGAGAGAATGAAAAGGATTGAGGACAAGCAAAACGCTGTGAATCACAGCACAACTCTGGCCTGTAATGCCAATATATAATGTGGATCAGCTCTACCACTAAGACTAAGCTGTTGATGTTTTTTAATCTGTGCATACGATGCACTCCACTTAATCTCACGTATCGTGCTGCACTCTTCCCGGCGGACGAGAGGTTTGAGGAACAGGCTCTTGAGAGGAAAATTATCAGTTTGAATTGTGGAGCAGGTGTGAGGTGTAAAGCACGGAGAGTGAACGAGAGTAAATCTTTCATTTGGAACCAATGAGATGAATGAATGCAAAGCGCTGTGGAGCTGAAAGAGAGCAAAGTAAATCTAAACAAAGCTCACAAAGGATTATCCTCCAGTGAAGTGGGAGGAGTAATTCCTGACTGGGGATCCAAAATTAAAGTCTGCTTTATCTTCTCATTCTTCATAATGTGAGACGACGAAAAGTCACAGCTCCTCAAGACTTAGAAGAACGACAGTGTTAGAAAATATCTGGTTCTTTCCACGTCCCAAAAAGTACAAGTTAAAGAGAATCATCTGAGAAATATCCAATCACAAAGCTTAAAATCATAGAGAGTAAAAAAGATGGACATAGCCTCCTTGACGTCACCCACAGGTTTCTGAAGAGCGGTTTTGAAGCTCAGAGTGAGCTGCTCCGCTGTCGTCGTCTTGGCAGCACCCGCACCTCCCGGCTAATCCAAAAACTGGCAAAAAGGAGGGGCCGAGACTTCAGTTCATGCCGGTGTGTTCCAAGTGTAGTTGGGCATTTTGAAATGGTAGTCTATGGGGATTGACTCACTTTTGGAGCCAGCCTCTAGTGGTCAATAGAGGAACTGCAGTTTCTTCTTCACTTCAATGTTGGCCTCTATTTTGATAATTGATAGGTGTACAAGTAATTAATCAAGCTTCAATACCAAACTTTTCCGAATACCAGCTTGATAAATGTAGCTGTGAATATAATTGTTAGTTGCATCCCTACTCTTATCATTATTGGTATCTGGTCTCAATATAGTAACAGAGGACTGTTACTATATTGAGGAACACCAAGGAATTCATTAAAGGTTTCAGTCGGGAAAAAGCAGAACTTTCTAAAACAAGTTTATATTTCCTCAAATAATATCCTCTCCTTTCTGTTTTCCGGGACCTTCTCCATAGCTGGATGTCAGAGTGACCCAGCAGAGAGCGAGGACAGCCGGATGTCAGCCTGAAGCGTGAAGTCGTGGAGTTGATGCGACAGACATGAAGAACCCGGACCAGTATGGACGAAGTCACATGGAGAGTCTGGGTGAGTCTGGACAGACGCTTCCTCCTTCACACTGTGGGAAATCAACTGGTGCTTTTTATCCACACTGAGAGCTGTACAATACAACCTTTCTCGCCAAGACCAAAATAGATCAATACCTCTGCACTTTTCTCCCCGAAGTCCAAGAAAACTGTCATTTTGTATTCTGCCTCCATCAAGACTCCACAGGTAATAAAGAAGCAGGCACAGAGCCTTTTCCATTGAGGTTTAGGTCTGCTTTCCATTATTTTCCTCCTAATTTCCTCCATTGTTGGCATTGCAGTGCTGTTTCTCTGCAAACTCAATAAAGTTTGTAGCAAAATTAAAAGGTTTGATACAGAAATCATCACAGCAGAACACTGGGTTTGTTTGACTAGTTTGTAGTCTTGTTCTGTATCTTGCTGACGTTCGAGCTCGGTGAGTCAGAGATCTGGTTACGAGCCACATTCAGGAGGTCAGAGACATTCAGATATCACCACAAGATGACACTGATTTTAAATGTCTTTGTGTCGATTCAGTTTTGGCATTTTAAAAGACGCAGTTGTGTTTGTTTCTTTGTGTTTTCCAGTCTATGCAGCTCTGTCCAGTCTGGTGCTGGCTCTACTAGGCCTGCTGGGCTCGGTCCACGGTTGTCCCAGCGTCTGCACCTGCTATGGTAACACCACTGACTGCTCCGCTCTCGGCCTCCTCTCTCTGACACCCATCCTGGCGCTTCTGGACCAGGACTCTCTTGTCCTGCGCCTACCCCAGAACAACCTCTCATCTCTGGGCAAGACGGAGCTGTCCAACCTCAGCAGCCTGGAGCTCCTGGATCTTTCCCAGAACCACCTTTCCACCCTGCAGCCTGGAGCTTTCTCAGGCTTGAGCGGCCTTCGTTGGCTCAACCTCTCCGCTAACTACCTCGGGGTACGCCTGGCGACGTTTGACCCCAACAACAGCACAGAGGCCATCCAGGGCTTCAATGGAAGTCAGGGGAGCGTTGGCTTGAGCAAAGAGGTTTTCAGGGGGCTGTTGTGGCTGCAGGGGCTCGACCTGTCCTCCAATGGCCTCCTTTGGCTGCCTAAAGGCCTCCTGGATGGGCTTCAGAGAGTCACCTGGCTGTCCCTGGCCAGCAACCGGCTCGCGGCTCTAGACAGAGTCACCTTCGAGCCCCTGGTGGGGCTGCGGCAGCTCCAGCTGGCGGGAAACCCCTGGGAGTGCGACTGCAAGCTGAGGGACTTCAAGCACTGGATGGAGTGGTTGATTTACCGGGGTGAGCAGTGGTGTTAGTAGGCCCCTCCAAATACTCTGAGGTTGATAGTATTGGCAGTCGGCTTACAGTGGTTTAAGACCGTGCCGGAGCAAATCACTTTGTATTTGGAGTCTGCACTTCAAAAGCTGTCTAATCGAAGCAATTAATCTCCGCTCTGCAGGATGGATGTCTGCTGAGCAAAGACATCTAAGAATATAATGACCTCTATCTCTCTCAATCTCCCCTGTCTCTCCCTGTTTGTCGTCTCCCTCCTTCCCCTTTACTCCACCTCCGCCCTCCCTGTTCGTCCTCCCTCTCCGTCTTTGTTTCCCCTCTTCGTCTTTTTTTATAGATGGGCAGGTAGATGCGATGCAGTGCAGTCTCCCGGTGGATTTGAAAGGCAGGGACATCCGCAGCGTGCCGGCAGAGATGTTCAGCTACTGCCTGCAGAGTCCGACCAAGGAGGGCGCGTCGGGTTACGTCACCCGGCCTCCCTGTCCGCCCGGCCGGGTCAGCGGCAATGACGAGTGTGTTCGCCAACGTTACCGGCCCGTAAGCGTCCGCCGGGCACACGGCACGCAGATTGTGGCAGGTGTGGTTTGCGGTACGGTGTGCGTCATGATGGTGGTCGCGGCGACTTATGGCTGCGTCTATGCCTCGCTGATGGCGCGGTACCAGAAAGAGATGAAGAGCCGCGGGCAGCCTCTGATGGCCGAGTCCGGAGCCGAGACCGACCTGGAGGACGGACCGATGTCATCCCCGAACTCGCCGGAGGAGACGCAGCCCAAGGAGCCGTGTGGCATCGTGCACGGGTATCGGATCAGCAGCTTCTGACGCGGCGTTCTCAACTGAGTCTCGATCCTCCCTGGACGTTCTGGCTGCTTCTGCTCTTCAGCTCTCGTCACTGATGAGACGACACGTGGAGAGGGAAACCCCGCAGCTCTGCAATCATGCTGAAAACCTCTGGGCGGGACTGATTGTACGGCTAATGGAGCGGACTAGATTAAATGAAACTGGAATGCTGCAGCACTTCTTTTAATGTATGGATGCTCTGTGAATTGTAATTCCCCATGCTGCATCTCTCTCGGCCAGCTTTGAAACTCCTGTTAAAGCTGCTGTTTGGCACTTCTGCACCTTGACTTCCCTTCATCTGTGTTTTTTTTTGTTTCTTCTCTAGAAATATGAAACTACCTTTTATGTCCGAGCCCGACAAGCACAAGCTCCAAAAGTACAAAAGTCTGTGAATCTGTGAAACTTTCTTTTTCCTCTTTGTTTTGTATATTTTACGTTCTTTAACACTTTGAGAAATGATCCTTTGTACCTCTGTTCGATGGACGCCGTGTTGAATCCCCTCCACATGACTCCAGACCGTGTCAGAGTCAGGTAAACGCTGCTTTAAGCTTCACCACTGAGATAAACTGCATTCAAACAGATGCTAGAGCTGTGCTGCCACCTAGTGGGCAAAGCTTTGAGCTACAACAACTTCTACTAATCCAGCACAAACAAACTCTGAAGCTCAACGACAGGAACAGTTATATTCCCAACATTACTACTGTAACTTCCTTATGTGTTATTTATTTTCTCCATATTTTCTGTGATAAGCACATAAAAACATTGTCTCAAATCAAACTCAAGGACTGTTAATCATATGCTGAAGATAATAAACTCTATATTTATCTATACTTCTTTTCTTCTCCTCATCATGTTTTTCTCTCCCGTCAGGAAATACCGGTGAAATCCTCTCATGACACACTCAGCTGAGGAAAACTGATAAAACTCATCCACACTCTGGACACAGATTTTACTCTTTCAAAGACGTCCATTCATTTTCTATTAAAATCTTTTACTGACTCGCCAGGCTGGTGACAATGCAACAACACCGTCAACCTGCACAGTTAAGGGTTAGTGTCAACATTCGGAGAGTTTCACGAGCAAACGAGATCATCACTATTTGATGACGGTAGCATCTGCTGCTGTCGGGATGTTTGACTCACTTCCAGATCCTCCGCTTCCTGAAAATACTCGACGTCTGACAACAGATTCTTAAATTATTCAATTAAAAAACGTCTTTGTAAGAAATGCAACATCCGGCAACCAGCCCTCTAAAACGTTGCTCCAACAATACACATCCTGAATCCTGACACAAAGCGAGTTCCACAGGATAACCAGCTGGTTGTCACCTGGTTCAGTTAACCCTGGGTTTACCTGTCGGCTTCGTATCCAACAAGGTGAAATGTATGTGAATCTTTGTTCAGTTCATGAAATTATAACAATGATTATGTCGTTATTCATCGTGATGAACTCTCCTCTGTTTGTTAGAAGCTCGTCACCATTTATCATTTAATTGTAAACTCTTTAGATCACACTCAGTTACCATGGTGATTTTCCCCCGGTAACAACTGAACCACCATCGTAGGGCTGATAACCCACAGTTAAACCTGAAGTTACCTTGATAACCTCAAATCCTGCTTCATAGTACAAACCTCTGGTCAACAATAACAACAACAACAACAACAACAACAACAACAACAACAACAACAACAACAACAACTCCAGCTTCTTGCTTGAATTAGCTCCTGTCTAATTCTTCTTAATCCATTTTGTTTTTGCTGAACATGATTGGATGGCGATCACATTCTTCAGTACTTCCCAGCAGTGTACAGCAATAATTCCTAACGATATGATTAATTAAATTAATGCAACCTGGAACTCAATCCACCGTCTCCACAGTCCTACTGTTAGATTAGAGGTGTGTGTGCCAGTGAGGCAAGAAAAAGTAAATTAAAGTGAAGATTGTTTATGATATTTTAAAGTCTTAACTTGATGCTTTTCGTAACTTTTCATAACCTGCTCTGTGAAACATGGGCCAACGGGGCAGAATCGATGACGCAGATGTGCGGCACAAGAAGAAGTAAACATGTTGACTCAGTGAGACTCACCTCCTGCCATGGCCGTCCTCCCTTCAGACGACACCGTCACCGCTGTCGTCGCGATGATGTACTTCACGCCTGTCGAGAGAGAGAGAGAGAGAGAGAGTTCAGAGCAACGTTAGCTGAAGGTTAGAGAGAGATACGTTAAGGGTGAGGGCTGAGGAGACGGGTGGACACGGACCTTTGTCGTTGACTGGGTAGTAGAAGAAGATTCCAGGAGTGTATTCCACGGCCAGGCGGTACCACAGCGGGAAGTGATCGATGGTGAACAGGTTGTCTTTATCAACCGGAGTCAGGAACCTCCTGTTGAGAGGACGTTCAACATTTTCACTTTGAGAACGACTGATGACACTTATTTCCCTGTCTGTTCTAATAAAGGCTTGAAACGAAGTCCCGTGTGGACGGTGACAGACATGAATGTGAAGCAGAAAACTTTTCCTGCATAATAATAAATAAAAATGACTTCACCAGTAAACCAACGGAGGGTTAGTCAGGTGCTGTTTGTCTTTGTCCACAGACTGAATAATCGGACGTTCAGCAGATTGAGTTCTTGGACACTTTGAACTCACTTTGCGACTCTGCTCTCCACTCCTGCGTATCTCATGATCCTCATCAGGCCGGAGCGAGTACCGAGGAAGACCGTCTCGACGCCGGGCTCCACCCTGCAGAGCGCAAACACAAACACCAGACGCTTGACGCTGCGAGTTCAAACAAACCAAACTCAGAAATTCCAACATTAAATTGATAAATTTACGAAAAGAAAATTTCGAGAAAAAAAAGAGTTTAAAGAGTCATAGCGTCATAAATTAACAAGGAAAAACTTGAATATTCTGAGATTATAAAGTCACAGTCATCAAGGTTCTCTCAGAATATTACCCCCCCTTCCCCGGCTCCATAGTTATGTTTTTTAACCTTACGTGTTCCTAATACACCTTCGTAATATAATGATATATATATACAAAACAATTCATCATTATCTTCAATAGAGAACAGTTGTTTTTGTAGTTTGGGTGAACTGCTCCTTTAAGAATAACACGTGGCCGTCTGGTGTCTCACCTCTCGTTGAGCATCAGGGCGTTCCAGTAGGCCTCCAGCGGAGCCGTGACCACGGCGTCAAACAGCGTATGCTGCAGCAACACCTCGTCACCTAGGCAACGGACGGGTTCAGTCAAACAAAGGTCTTACTGACAAAATATTAAAAAGCAGAGCTAATCCAAATGAATGAAAACCTATTAAATAAATATTGTGTGGGTTTATTTTTTTTAGTTTGATTAAAAAAAAAAAGAAAGGAACCTACACTCGAGGTCGGGCTCCTTCCCCAGCAGGTAGCGGATGGCGGCCTGAAGCTGCGAGTATTTCCTGTGGGCGGGGTCGATGTCTGTCTCACAGTACGTCCTGAGGAAAAGAGATTTATTAAACCAGGACCAGCAGCTGCAGAGACACACTGGGACCTTTAATGTGTTTGGGAGAATTGACAAGAAAAAACTAAAAACATTTTCTGAGGAAGGATTTCTGTCAATTGTACAAATCCTGACTTTTACTTCTTACACTCTGATCTTCTTTCACTCCACTAATTGGACTCTTATTACACATAAATGATTCAACAGACTAATTAGCTTTTTGTTCTTCCTGCTCTCGCTGCAGAGCAGCTGCTCCACTTGTTCATCTGTGTCCTCTGCACAAATAAACTGATTAAAAGTTAAAAACCGCCGCAGCCTGATGAAATCTGCTGTTAAGCATCAGTTCATGATTTAATCAGAGGTTTTCAGACGCACCACTCGGAGGCGATGCTCAGGTCTGGGGAGGTGAGGTCATGCAGCCCTGCAGAGAGAGAGAAAAACACTCGACTCAACAGATTCATTCAGTGTAAAAAGAAAAAAAAAATGCAGCTGAATAAGTAAAATTTTCTTTCTACTTAAAGTGCAAATGATAAAAAAGAAAGAACGCTATCCGTGCAGGGGGATTGTGGGTAATTGTACCTTCCTCCACAGACACGTTTCCCACAAACATCAGCCTTCCGTGACCCTTCGTCAGCGCCATGCCGAAGCTGCAGAGACACAGGGAGGAGGTGAGACGGGACGGTGGGACACGCCGCCATCTAGTGGCCAAATCACACACATACAACTGCAAACTCCTGAGGGTGGAGGTTCATGCTGATGTTTGACATCCACAAAGATCTGATTATAACATATCAGACAATTATCCTTTACACAATGTTCTTGTTTGTTTGGTTTCTTTTCTTTTATGAGACCAAGACAAAAAATTTAAATAATTTAGTTTCATTTTTATCAGCTTTACATCACATCCACGTGATGAGTCTGTCTACATCAGGAAACACAGATGACTTCGAGAAGTCTTTTGTGCCATCAAACATAACAAAACTGTGGGTTTAGCTTCGTGGAAAAGCAACTTTAAAAGGCGTGAGGACAGAGAAGCCGACCTACCTGAACGGCGTGTCATCAATGTTTGTGTAGAAGTACTCATTGATCATGTACAGAGGTCGTTTCTGAAGAGGAACAAGAAAACATCAGTGTCACTGTGGCGTCTTTTTTAACTGGTGAGATAAACTCATGTGACTGTAACGGTTCACTAACAGGAATTAAACATATGAAACACACAACAATCAGCTGCATGTTTGTAACAGGTGCATCACTGCCACCTGCTGAGCTGGAGGGAAACTGCAGGTCTGTCCTACAGTTTCCATTATTCACTCTTGTGACAGTGCTTTATTTCAGCAGGGATATTAATGTGAGAAATTAATACATTTTACTGCTTTGTCATTAAATGATAAAAGGAACTTTACTGTCAATTTCTTGTTTTAAAAAGTTTCAAAAAGCTGGTGAAAGTTTCTTAAGCTTTATTAAGGCCCGAGTCCCAAAGGTGCCAGGAACCTATAGTGTTTACCAAGATCATTATTATTATTATTATTATGATTATTATTATGTTGAAAAACTTTTTGAGGACCATGTTGGATGTTCATGAAAGTCAGTGGGATGATTGGTTTCGTCTTAAAGGACATAATCTGTATTTTTCAAAATGTTTTCACCAGACAGGAAGTCAGCCATTTTGGATTTTGTGTGGTGATTTTCTATTATGTTTTAGTTTTTGTTGCTGTTTTGCAAATGTATACAGGTTTTCTTTCAGCTTTCGGGACCTTCATTTCTGTCATATCCGAACAACAACGTGCTATAATAATCCAGTGATTTTAATCTAAATCCTGGTGTTGTATCTTTACGTCATACTCACAGACACACGGTGACATTTCCATTTCTCCAACTCACATTTCTCCGACTCCCTTATTTGTCCTATATGTCACACCTTCTTCTTTGTTGCTGAATGGTGATGTTACAGCTACAGCATTGGATGCTTCAATATTTAATTAGAGCACCGCATCTTTTTCTTTTTTTAAACATTTAACACATGAGTTTTCTCCACTTTCTTTTCCCTTTAAGCTGCTTTAAGGTTGAAGAAATCATCTTATTCCACTGTGTGTGACAGCCTTCAACATGTTCTGGATCAGTTTGTTCCAGCTCTTCATCGTGTTTTTAAATATTCAAACTCCAAAACTCTGGGGAGTTACACTGCACTGTTCTGTCAGACTGAATTATTCTTCACGTCTTGTGCATCATTTCAAATACATTTCCTCAACATTCATCCCGACATGTTTGGTATATTTTAAACTCTTTGATCTCCGCTACAAATCAAAATAGAGTTTTATGGGTTCAAGCTGAATTTGCCTGCACAGCTTGAGTTTGTAAAGACCAGGTCCTGGTGGGTCCAGGACATTTTAAACTCAAACTGTTTGTGACACAAACAAAACGTACACTTGTGTGATAGTGTGTGTTATATGAAGTGATGACGGGTTCCTCACCCCTTTGTCCACAGATGCTCTGATGCTCAGGCTGATGCTGCCAGTCTCTCCTTTCACCATTGCTGTTCTCAGCTGGGAGAACAACGAGAGTCAAATCAAAGGAGTTCAGATATGATATATGATAGATGATGTCACTGTGAAGTTGACCTTTGACCTTTTGATATAAAATGTCATCACTTAATTTTTATCCTTGTAGATATTTGAGTCAAATTGTGTCATAATCACTGCATGAATTCGTGAGTTATCGCCAAAAATGTGTTTTGTGAGGTCACCGTGACCCTGAACTTTGACCTTTGACCACCAAAATCTAATCAGTTCATCCTTGAGTCAAAACGAAAGTTTGTGCCAAATTTGAAGAAGGTCCCTGAAGGTGTTACTGAGATGTGGCGTTCACAAGAATGGGATGGACGGACGACCTGAGAACGTAATGCCTTCTTGGAGTAATTGAAGGGTTTCATTCCAACATGCCGATAATTCACTCTCTCCAGATATCTGAGATTCATCTGGTGTGTGTGTGTGTGTGTGTGTGTGTGTGTTTACCATCTCCTCTGTATCCTCCCACTCCACCTCAGACAGATCCACACTGTTGTAGTTTGGCTTCGGCTTCAGTTTCTTTCCGTCTTTGTACTGTAGGACAGAGAAGACACTGTAGTGAAATACTGTATAACTGTCCTTATAAATACTTAATACCTCCTCCCTTTAATGCACCTTCAGGTCATCTGCTGCAAAACTTTAAATATAGATCTGAGTAAAACAGAGCTGCTGCTGCTGCTGCAGAACTCCTGAGCTAAATTTGACCTGTGCGGTTATTTAAACCTGCAGAACTCACAAGAGGTCGAAGGTCGGGGTGGGCCAAGATGTAGCCGTTGTTGGTGATGAGGAAGGCGTAGCCATGTGCTCCCAGCTGAGGAGGAGGAGCAGGAGGTGAAGGAAGTTCAAAGAAAATTAACAGAAACAACAACTATCCTCCACAGCTGAACAGGACTGAGCTCACCATGTATCTGGGCGCCAGCTTCATCACCTCCATCAGCGGGATGTCTGAGCCGACTACGCCCAGCAGGATCCCGTGGGACAGCTGGAGAGGCAGGGCACAGGGAAAAAACTCAGTAATACTACAGAGCTAAGACATCTGAAGTAGAAGCAAAAACAATTATACTGTGATAAGGAAGTATTAACCTTATGCTTCTATGGGACTAGATCTGTAATAAACTGAATATGACAGGACGGTCAGAATCAGATCCAGACATCACAGCGCTATGAATGGTGATGCGTTCACTTACTGCTGTAGCTGGCGAGGTGCATTTCAATGGTGGTGTGGTCACTTAGCTTAGAAAACGAGAGCTATAAGCCACATTAGCAGCTCTGTGAGGCTGTGCTCAGGTAAAGCGGTGCTTTGAGCTAAATGCTAGCTTAGTTAAACACACTTAGTGGAGTGTGTTAGCATGCTAATGTCCGCTAATTAGCACTAAACACAAGTACCACAGAGGCAGATGGGAATACGATTAGTTTTACAAGCTATTAGCAAAGTAGCTGACACTGTTTACACAGCTTGTTATCATGCTAACATGTTAACATACTGACATTTAGTTTAGCAGTTAGCATGATAAAATGGTAACTGTTAAGATGTTAATCCATTTAAGTTTCCTACAAACATTTACTTTTTTAAGTGATAGCATGTTAGCATTTAGCTAGTAAGTTACACATTTAGCTGACAACTTAACGTTTAGTTGTTAAAATAGCTCAAGTTTGCACTTTGCTCTTTCTTTTACTCTTGTTGTTGTTTTACCAGTAAATTAGCCTGTTTGTTATCTATTTGTTCCCCTAATGAATAAACTAGTTAGCCATGCTAATGTGTCGAGGCATGTGGCATACAGACAGCCATGTCTTGGATAAAGCTAAGACGTTTGTTGACTTTGTAAAAATGCAGCTGCCCCCTGTTTGTAGTCGATTTAGTTTCCTACAAACATTTTATAATTAGTCCTCATTTACTGAAACCTTTTTAAGTGACAGTATGTTAGCATTTAGCTCGTAAATTATACGTTTAGCTGACAACTAAATGTTAAGTCATTAAAATAGCTAATATGTTAGTGTATTCTCTCTGCACCATGAATCTGTGTTTACTGAGATATTTCAACTAACAATCGTAGCTCTTGTCCAACCACTTGCTAGAAACCGACTCCTCTTCGGTTCCGACACTTTGTGATTACAGTTACTGCGACACACAGGTTTCACACTTTGTTCTGTAGACACTGACCGTCTCCTTCTTCTTGCTGAAGACCGGCATGGCCACCGAGGTCATCAGCAGCAGACTCTGGGCCTTGGTGGTGAAGAGCTGAGAGACAGGAAAACATTTAATACACACTGTGATGATTCAAAACACACACATCCAAGATAACAGATGGATCAATGAAAAGGTTATTTTAAAGATAGACATTTAAAACTACCATTAACATGCCTGTGATTTGGATTATACAGTGGTAGGAACCTGTGATAGACTGGATCTTACTGTGTGAGGCTCGTAATGTATTTTTTTCAGATCATATGTTTTGGTGTTGTTTAGTATTCTTGTTATTTTCTTGTTATTAGATTTCATATTTCAAAAAACAGGATAAAGATATTCTTCATCATCTACAAACAAATATAATCCTGATGTTTATGGAGACACTGTTTGCTGCTCTGAGGTTAAACTCCAGGTGGCGCTGTAGGACTGCTGCAGCTCTGAGTGAATATGAAAGTACTACACTCACTACAGTGGTTCTCAACCTGAGGGTCGGGACACCTCACTTTTCCATGCACGTTAATTTTCATTAAAAAATCGAAGTCATAACTACATTTTTTCAGCTAAATCTGAAACACAATTACTTTATTATATATTTAGGGACTCCTGCCAAACAAGTGAACTTATGAACTCCTGGTTTTAAAACTACAACTTCTTCTTCTTCTTCTTCTTTTTTACCTCCTTGGTGTTGGGAAGCTGCCGAGCGATGGAGGGGAAGGCCCAGAGGATCATGGGAGAATGAGTTGAGGCAGGAGGAGGAAGCAGACAGACAGATGGAGGTGAAGTGACAGTGATGATGAAGATGATGACGAGTGTAAAGTGTGAGGAATTAAAGGAGCAGTTCACCCCAACATTAAAACTTTATCAAGCATTACTATCTCTGGTACAAATGACGAACTGCTCCTTTAAGCTCTCTGATTGGCCGGTTCAGCTCACCACCGTGTCCATGTAGGCCTCGGTCCAGATGATGTCATGGTCGTGGTTGATGACCATCGGTCGGCTGAGCACGTGCAGGTACTCCATGACGTTCTCCTGCACGTCGGCCAGCGTGGAGATGTGTGTGTAGTAACCTGAGAAAACACACACCAACGTATTTTAACGTGTAAATGCACCAAAACACAGGTGAACACACACACACACACACACACACACACACACACACACACACACACACACACACTGCTGACCTTTATTGTTGCAGGCGATCCACTTGGTGTTCTGAGCGAAGGTCATCTCTCTGCCGATCAGATATGTGAAGACTCGCACCTGAAGAGAGAAACACACCTGTTTACACCTGAGTGTGTGTCCTGGATTGTTTCAACCAGCTGCTTCCTGCTAGAGTCAAATATGTTCTTATGACCTTAATTTTCTTAATTATCAATCTAATTATTGTTATTGAATTATTAATTTAACACTCGGAACTGCACATAATTCATTTCTAAAGCTGTGTACATTCAATTTTTTGACTATTTTTGATTATAGATCAGGTCTAGCTTCTATATTAATACTGTGAAAGTATCAAAGCCTCAGTCCACAGAGAAATGCACACAGCCTGTATTCAGAAACTGAGCCTTAAAACCAGCCGTCAGGACTTCTGGAACTTTGTGATGTCACAACAAAGCAGTCACCAAGCCCCGCCCACCTGGACCCACCATCCAAACCTTTACAGGATTTGGTTTCTCTGAGTGTTTTTACCTGAAATCTGCTTTATTTTTATTGGATCACTCAGAAAACAGTCAGCCAATCAGAAGAGAGGCTCAGAGCCTCCTCTCTTCTGATTGGCTCACAGACCTGTTGTTACTAGAGCTCCAGAGAGAAGCCTGAGAGAGGAGATGTAAAACTACACTGAGATGGTTTAAATATATCTTCTAATGGATCAACACTTCAAATAAAACACAGAAGAAGAAAATAAACGGTCTTTACTTGATGCTCCAGGATCTCTCTACTACTCTCATGTCTGATTGAGCCACTTGTCGAGCTGTTTGCACGTCTTATCTTTCACTGACAGATTCAGATCTCTGATTCTCACTCAAACTAAATTTTAGCATGAAAACGAACCGAAGGAAACAGCTGCAGGCGGAAGAGTTGAGCCACTAAAGCTGCATTTTGTGGTTTCTTGAGTTCAGTCTGTGTTTCAGTATGTGCGGCACGCAGCGCACGCACACACACACACACACACACACACACACACACTTGGACACACAGTTTCCTGTAGTTATTTGGAAGGGAACAGATCTCCTCCTCACCCTGCGCTCCGGCCAGTTGAACTCCTCGAAGACGGACTCAAAGTCCTCCATGGCTCCGTCTGTGATCAGCATGATGGCCTGGTTACACATGCTGCCCTGACCGTTGGCCCTCGCCTGCACACACACACACACACACACACACACACACACACACAAACTCTGAAAAGTTATTTTTTCATTCACACACACTTGAATGTACTTCGGGAGAGTTGACCTCTGACCCCTGAGGGACACAAACCTCGTTGAGGATTTTGAAGGCTTCCTTCATGGCGTTCTTGATCTTTGCTTCTCCTTTAACATGCAGCTCCTCCACCAGCAGCTTAAAGTGCTGAGAGACAGACAGACAGACAGACAGACAGACAGACAGACAGACAGACAGACAGACAGACAGACAGACAGTCAGACGGACAGACAGACAGACAGACGTCTTCCTTATATCAGCTGATTGATCACGTCTATTATCAATTATTTTCCATGTCGTCATGAACACAGATAGTTTCAGATTTATTTGCAGATGTTTTGAGATTTCTGCCTCTGAATCTTGTTGCTGGAGATGAATATAATTTTACTCATGACCATAATAACAATAATAATAATAATAATAATAATAATAATAATTTTTTCACTGTTTTTTAACATTTCATTGACAAACAATCAATCAATTAATTGTGACAACAATCAGAAGGTTAATCAATAATGAAAATAATCCTTTGTTTCAGCCAAACTGAATATTTTTTCATGCAGGAGGTAAGTTTCAACAAAATAACAGTATGAACAGGTTGTTGTTGCACAAAGATAGAAGTAGTCCACACACACACACACACACACACACACACACACACACACACACACACACACACACACACACACACACACACACACACACACACACACACACACACAAAGCCCCAGGTTGACTTGGTGGTTTCTAAAGGAGGCCAAGGGGATGATGTGATGACGCAGCAGAGGGAATTCCTCTGTGTGTGTGTGTTGTGTTGTGTGTGTGTGTGTGTGTGTGTGTGTGTGTGTGTGTGTGTGTGTGTGTATGTGTGTGTGTGTGCTGTAAGACGCCTCCTCAGCTCTTTAAGCCTCCATGAAGCAGATAATGGTCTTACCTCTCTGTTGTCCAAGTCGGCCTGGACCAGGGTTCCTCTGAAGCACGGCTCCACATAGCGAACATAGTCAGTGTACTGCAGCCAGGAAGACACACACACACACACACACACACACACACACACACACACACAGGGAGAGGCAGTTTCATGAGCAAACGACAGTTGCTGGTTTAAATCCCTGGACCACTAACAGTTCCAGAACAACGCAGTAATGTAACATGATCTTGGTGAAATATCTCTTTACATATATAAGTGTGTGTGTGTGTGTGTGTGTGTGTGTGTGTGTGTGTGTGTGTGTGTGTGTGTGTGTGTCTGTTTCTCACAGCGATGACGTTGACAAAGTCATTCTCTCCCAGTGTGTCCAGGATGGTGTTGATGGTGTGTTTGGCGATGGTCATCTTCAGCCCCTTCATACTCCCGCTGATGTCCACCATGATGATGATGTCTTTGGGAGACGTGGCCGCCTGGATGTACCTGCACACAGGAAACAGGAGACATCTCATTATTTAATTACATTAATTTGAAAGGTTTTATTTTGAAAGGTTGATCCATAAGAAGATATATTTGTGGTTTTAAGAACCAAAAACCATCTCTCGCTCTGAGCCTCTCTTCTGATTGGCTGACTGTTTTCTGAGTGATCCAATAAAAATATAGCAGATTTCAGGTAAAAACACTCAGAGAAACCAAATCCTGCAAGGTTTGGATGGTGGGTCCAGGTGGGCGGGGCTTGGTGACTGCTTTGTTGTGACATCACAAAGTTCCAGAAGTCCTGACGGCTGGTTTTAAGGCTCAGTTTCTGAATACAGGCTGTGTGCATTTCTCTGTGGACTGAGGCTTTGATACTTTCACAGTATTAATATAGAAGCTAGACCTGATCTATAATCTATAATCACACTACACATGGACACAGACCTTTACACTGGAGGAGCTTTAATATTATTCTTAGATTCTTAGGTCAAAGAGGGTCCATATCTCAGATTTTTCCAGTGATTCAAACAGGTGTTTTGCTTGGTGATGACAAATGAGCCAATCAGAGCTTGGCACTTAGCGCTAGAAGGTGAGAGTAAAAAATAGAAACATCACCTTCCTGAACCAGAGCCAGAAATACAGCGACAGAGAGAAAAAAATCAACAAGAGTGGATGAGACTTTCTTAATTTCCTGCTAAATGTGTCTTTTCTTCTTTTCTTTTCTACACTTGTTTCCCAGATTTGATGGTTTTATTCTATTTTTGTGTTTCTAAGAAGCAGATGTGGTGACTACAAAAATCATACAACAATATGTATTTTAAAGTTTTAACCTCACAGTTATTAGTTTCATTTAAAATCCAATGAACCACATGAAGTTCAGTGGGAACAAACAGTTCCTTTACTTCAGTCTGGAGCCTCTGTGAACAGATCTGATATTTACAGCTGTTCATGTTTTCATTTCAGGACCAATCCTCAATGTAAGAAAATTTATAAACATATTTACAGAGAATAGAAACATATTAATTTGACCTAAATTCACAGACAGACCTTGTGATTATATAAAGATTATCTATAAAGAACAGGCTTGTTTCACTTCACTGTTCACAAATACAAACAAACCTTCAGCATCATAAACTCTGTGGGTCTGAAGCACGTCACTCTCCAGCAGATGCATGCAGCAGCTTTGGCAGCTCAGCTGCGGTAATGCGGCGTGACGAGGCATTCAGGGACATATGCAGCTCTCTGGTATTATTTAGAAATGCATGAACAGTCGCATATGGTGCCATGTGGGCTGCAGTGACCCGGCTAAGGAGCAGCTTATCGTCTTTTCCAGAGGATCAGGACTCCGGCTGGCCGCTGCTCAGCCGACACACTGCCAGCGTTATGAGCTCCCCAGACCGACTGAAACTCAGCGTTACACGGGGGGTTTAAAGGTCCCGTCTCCCCGAGTCTGCTCTCAAGTTTTCAGCAGTTATATGGGAAATACAGAGAGGGTGGAGGAGATAACATAAACGCCTTACAACACGGCACTCTAGTGGGATTTAACCGACTCCATTCGACGGATTGAGATTGAAGTATTTGTGATTTTGTGTTTTTCAGTCGGTGTTTGTGAGAATTCTGTTGTTATCGCACCAAATTAAACTGATTTACTTTCAGAGAGAAACTTATTTCTGTCTGTTTCGACATGATGAGAATCAACAAACACAGAACAGCAAAATTTTAAAGAGGAAAACTTTTATGCCTGTGAAGCTCAAACTGAATCTGAACCTGAAACCTGAAACTCACAGAATCTAGTTCCTTCAGGCCTACTTCATTACAGGACTTCATGTGCCTGTGTCCGTGCTGCTGGGGAGTTGACACCTTTATTAACAGGCTAAGCTCTGGCAACCCATCTGCCCCAGTGTTAACAGCGAACCAAGATAAGCATTTAATATAATCCATATCAGTAAACACAGTTAATTCAATGGGTTCGGACGGGTCAACAAAACAAAACAGCTCAGCGGAAATCTCTGCCAACTCCGCTTCACTCCAGCAGAGTTTAAAACAACCTCTGTGGACATTTCCTGTTGCGGTTGTGTGAACACCTCTTAGACAGGAAGTGAGGTTAACAGTTCAGCGTAACATATTCAATTTTGGATATCGCCCGAGTCGAGTAAAGAAACCAACTCTAAACCACTGCACTGGTTTCACAGTCGGTAACATCTGCCTCTAGTGGTCTCTCAATCAAAATAAAAACTAAAAAACGTCGTTTGGTGACGTCGTGAAGCAGCGTGGGATCATGGGAGTTGTTGTCGTCGGCTTCTCCTGGTTTGGATTCCTTCGGTGTTGGTGGTTCAGGAGGTTTTGACCAGCAGCTGAATTATCCTCAGAGGTTTCCTCCTCTCCACAACAAACACACCAGGGGATTAAAACCAGCAGAAACACTGAATAAAAACAGTTTCATGTTAAAAATCTGTGATTCCCCGATGCAGTTCAGCGGACATGAGACGTCAGAGAAGAGTTGGGAGCTGAGACTTATGCTAACCTTTGTTTTGATTGTTTCTTTAATAACTTATGAACCAGATGTTCAGCAGGTTTTTACCAGCAGCTGAATTATCCTCAGAGGTTTCCTCCTCTCCACAATAAACAGACCAGGGGATTAAAACCAGCAGAAACACTGAATAAAGCAGTTTAACTTTTAAAAATATCAGCGATTCACCGACGCTCTTCGGCAGACACAGGACGTCTCTGAGCTGAGCTGTCTCACATTTCCTCAGCTTGTTTCTCTGATAACTTCAGATCCAGACGTCCGGCGACTAAAATCCTTCATCTGGTTCAAATATTGAGTTTAAAACCACCAAGGTGTAAAAACAACATATAGAACAGAGGTCTTGTTGTTTTAAGACATCATATCTGAACTCACCAGTTTCTGTTCCTGCAGTCAAACGCTGCCACACCGTTAGCGTCTGGAGTCCATTTAATACCTGACAGAGAAAAACATGGGGTCACTTCAATCACCCAAGGTTCATCATTCATCTGTCACTATCTTGTAATTAATCAGGTCGTTAACATAGTGATTGTACATTTTCTAGCTGTTGTGGAAAAAGTATTCAGATCATTGATTAATATCAGTAAAAGCAGCAACATAATATTTTAGATTACAAGTAAAAGTACAAAAGTATTAGCTTTTTAAATTGTATTAACGTTGTATTTTAACTGATTTATTTGGTTTAATCTTTAACACTGCATCATGTTTTATAATCTGATCATCTGTTTTGTGCGTTAAATCTGTAAAGTAAATATTGTCTGTAGCTGTCCGATAAATATAAAGTAAGTAGAGTACATAAAAATGACAGTACTTCAGTAAATGTACTTGTTATAAATCACTGTTCTTGTGGACTTGAGCAGTTTGACAAAAATATGACACAATAAAATAAAACAAAAAAAGGTAGAGCAATGTATTCTCTTTAGTTTCTAAAGGGAAATTCAGACGGAGCTGTTCTTTAAATAAACCTTTACAAAAAACTCCGGATCTCCTGGACATTAAACTGGAACATGAACCCACCGGGGTAGATCCTGAAGAAGCCGGTGGAGCTGCCGAAGTACTGCCAGGTGAGCGTGGGATCCTTCTGGAAGTTACCGATGAAGACGTCGTTTAACGCCTCTGAGTTGTAGATGGCGTTGAGGATGTTGGGATCTGCACACAGAGGACAGAAAACACAGACACAATATCAGAGACCGTCTCCACATCCACGGGGTAACAACGCAAACAGGACGACCTCTGACCTTTGTTGTAGACGTTGGTGGGGACCTGGATGTTGCTCTGCTGCGTGTTCACCAGCAGCTTGTTGAAATGTTCGTTCTCCTCCAGCGGGAACTCTCCGCCCAGTTCCGCGTAGTTCCCGTCCTCGTCCATCGTGTTGATCATCATGGAGTTGTAGTAATCAAACTAGACAGGAAGGGGACATGACAAGGTTCCTTTCAGAATAAGACACCGAGTTATTGAAAATGAATAAACATGGATCCTGTGTCGGCTCAACCAACCAATGAAATGACATCCAACCACATTAAGATAAATAACGGGAATTTAGAAAGTAAGATGTCAGAATACACACAAAAAAAAAAATACAGATTTCACTTGACCCTTGATTCACTTCATGTTTCGCTGTTATAAAGATTTTTATTTAAAGTACATAATAATAATAATAAAATATCAAATGAACAATCCTCAAATAAAAAAATTAAGAATAACAGGTTTCATAGTGTTTTAAACCCTTTTTTCCACCATCTTCAACAATTTTAGGTCCAAATATTAGAGCAGATCCAACCAAACAAAGTATTAATTAGTCACATTTTCATTCTCTTTCAACTTTAAAACAATTACACGTTTGTTTATGATGCAGAAAATAAACTGGAACCTAGAGATAATTCATGCAACTTGCTATTAATGACCTCTAATGGGACATTCAGTGAAACAGTGCTTTAATGAGTTCAAGAATGTACAACTGATTTGTACAAGTGTAAAAGAATCTCAGATTAAGAATGAACAATGAATGAATGGTGACTGAATCTGCTTTACTGCTGCTATCCATCACTCCTTTTATATATTTTTTTCAGCTGGTCATGTGACCTTATTGTGGCCCAGTGTTTGATTTCTATATGTAGCGTCTCTGCTGCAGCGTCGACCCAGTTCCTTTACAGGATCAGTGAAGTTTGATCTAATCTGATTTCAGGTGTCAGCTGAAGCTTTAAAGCTTCAAGCTGCTGCAGAGTCCACTGAAGACCGGCCTACTGTCACCGCTGATCCAGAAACAGTTAGCATGCTAATGCTACAATTCATCTTCATCCAGGTAAACCCAAGACTAACAAGAACTGTGATGATTGTGTTGATTGTTTAACTTTTGAAGGTTTAAGCACGTTTTATTTACTGTAATGGTCCTTTAAATTCCATGAAATGGTCCTTTAAATTTCATAGAATTGTCTTTTAATTTTTATGAAATGGTCCTTTGAATTTCAGCCAGTCAAGACAAAAGAAGACGAACCTCTAACGTGGCGTTGAAATCGTGGTACAGGTCAGCGTCCTCTGCCGACTCTGCCAACCTCTGAAACAAGAAACAGAAAAAACAAAACTCTAACACAGCACAAACACAGCATACAAACGTGTTTAAAATGTATTTGGGGGAGATTTATAAAAACATGTGGTGTATCATCTGAGGGATGATCCACAACAAGGTGCTGCTGTCTCTTTATCATTGTCACATTGTTACTTGAAACATCGTCATTACAAAAATACCAATTACAGCCGCTTCAATGTGACTGCAGCTGTTTTACAACACAGCTCAGGCTTACACTCAGGCTGCAGCAAGCATCATCATCCTCACCTTCACTGACTTCATCTTGCTTCCCAACATGCGTTCGATTTCATCTGAATAATCCTTCACCAAGTCGCCTCCGTCCAGCTCCACAATCTTAATGATCGGCTCCACGTCCTTCAGTTTCTGAGAGGAAACAAGAACTGATTTTAACCTTGGTTTAAACGCAGCTTCAAAGATACAACAGCTTTGTATACATGCACTTTGTAGATATCTATATATATATATATATATATATATATATATATATATACACATTGTTTATAGTAATCTTCATTTCTCTGCTTAATTTGAGGACGTTTGCACAAAGTGATTGAAACAGATGAAACAGAGTGACCTCGAGCTGTTGGTAGATTGGTTTGTTTCTATCAGATAATTCAGACTGTGCATGAGACTCCCTCTCAGATTAAATCAACCGCTGTGATGTGGAGATGTGTGTGTGTGTGTGTGTGTGTGTGTGTGTGTGTGTGTGTGTGTGTGTGTGTGTGTGTGTGTGTGTGTGTGTGTTGTGGTGTGTGTGTTTTTTTTAACAACAAAGTAATCAGGTCACTTTCTCTGGATCAAGAAGCTCGAGGTGGATCAGCCAGCTGAGAACGAGGAGGGACAAGCCCAGTCCGGTTATTTACACCCTGAATCACTCGATTAAGTAATTCACTAATTCCTATTAGTCCAAGTAACCCACTTACTGAGGTGAACACATGAGCCAAGCCAAATGTTTGTGTAACCTCATGTGAACGTCTCCAGTCTCTGATCGGAGGCCATTCACACAGAAAACCCCGAACACCTGGAACTTCAGGCCAGACTCGTGGATTTCTAATTTGTATTCTGCACCAATATGAAAGAAATATAAGGTTTTTAATTAACAGTCATCCACAGGGGATGTCTCTCTGTTTCAGTCTTCAGGGAAATTTCAACGATGCAGACTTGACCCTCTTTATTTTAGCTGCCAACACTCACCTGCTTGTCTTACATCAACGCAACAACCAGTGAATTCCCACTCTGTTTAGGTGGTTAGCTTAAAGCAGCTAATTGGAAGTTTTCTCTGCTGCTGAATGTGGGTTCTTGTGATTATCGCTTGACAAGAGCTTCAGCCATTGTTGTGTTTACAAGACCAGAGGGTATAATACGCCCTCAGAGCAGCGCTAAATCTTCAGGGCAGACTGGAGGATACAGTGAGTCGCTATCGGTCACTATAGCTAGTTAGCATGCTAACTTCAGTAGAAGAAAAGACAGTAAACATTAGCTCTTGGTGAGTAAAGGAATGACGTTTGATGCAGAACTCTTCTAGACTGGTAAGTAAACAGCTGCTAATGCTAACGTTAGCTATGTAGCAATAGCAAAATTTACAAACAGCTCCTTAAAGAAGCTTGATTACCTTCTTACAATGAGAAATGGGATTCAGATGAACACAAGATTTTTTTATTAACAAGACCAGAGGTTGTATTATGTCCTCTGAGCAGCACTATGTCTTCAGAGCAGACTGGAAGCTACAGTGAGTCGCTATAGGTCGCTACTGCTGGTTAGCATGCTAACTTCAGTCAAAGAAAAGACATGAAGGAGACAAGAGTTAACATCGATGTTGTTTTTCACCTCTGGAGACAGCTGTTGGTGAGTAAAGGAATGAAGTTTGATGCTGACCTTGCAACATTTCGTCTTGACTTGTAAGTAAACAGCTGCTAATGCTAACGTTAGCTATGGCGATAGCAAAACTTACAAACAGCTCCTTAAAGAAGCTTGATTACCTTCTTATAAATGAGAAATGGGATCCAAGATGAACACAAGATTTTTTCGTTCACAAGACAAGAGGTTATAATACGTCCTCTCAGCAGCACTTCGTCTTCAGGGCAGATTGGAGGCTACAGTGACTCGCTATCAGAAAGTGACGTTATTGCTAGCTGTTAGCATGCTAACTTCAGTAGAAGAAAAGAGGTGATGGAAACAACAGGTAACATCGATGTGGTTTTCCACCTCTGGAGACAGATGTTGGTGAGTACAGGAATGTCTGGTGCTGAACTCACAATGTTTCACGTAAACAGCTGTTGATGCTAACTTAGCATTACAGCTTAGCTATGTAGCAATAGCAAAACTTACAAACAGCTCCATTAAGAAGCTTGATTAACTTCTTACAATGAGAGAAAGGGATCCCTGACGAACCAGGAACACAAAAACACAATCACAAGTTAGTTTAGTTTCTTTACAGGCGTGTTGTTCACGTTGTGTGTTTGAAAGCAGACAAACTGCAGACGGCCTCTGATAAATCTAAATCTGACAGATAAATGGATGAATGTCTAAAATCAGAGCAGGCCACAAATCCTGACGCCGGTAAAGAGGGCTCGGTCCTCAATCTGGGCATTACCATGATCCCTGTGTGTGTGTGTGTGTGTGTGTGTGTGTGTGTGTGTGTGTTCCCTCGTAAACACACATAGACAGAAGCTATCACACACACACACACACACACACACAAACAGACAAACACAAACAAGTGCACATCTAAAAACACACACACTCTCTGTTGCTCGCTCTGCCCAGTTCAACCAGTCTGCTCGCCTTTGCACCAGTTTGAGTTTGAGATTCTTTCATTATTATGAGTAAAAATAATTACATCATATCATTTGAAACCTCTAATCCAAAAACAGCCTCAACATCGAAAGGGAAAAATCCACCAAAAAAAAACTAATTTAATCCCCAGAAAAGACAAATGACACTTTGTTCTTGTTCTAATACAAACTGTCAAAACCAATGACGTCTGATAAATGTGTCGATGATCCTAAACCTCAGCAGCAAATCAGGTTTGTCTCTGTTGACACATTTACACATTCAACAGTCAAGTGTGAAGAAACCAATCATATACATATATTAAAACACACAGGAGGGAGAAATAGACCAAACTGATCTGAACCTTCAGCATCAGCCCGCGGGTCGAGTTTCTCTTTCTCTAGACTAAAGTAAATCTTCTTCAGACCTGACTGTCAGATACATAGACATAAACAGTATATGCCAACGTCGCCGCCATATTGGACCGGGGCAACACTTGCCTGTAAGCTGATGCAAGTAACCGCAGGAGCTGCAGTATTTCTGGATGAAAAGCTCCATAGCGTTTATGTTTCTGAGCCGATTTTCAATGAGTCATTTACATTCAAGGGTTTATGATGAATGTGGAGTAAAAATGAAAGTTTGGCCTCCAGTTAGTGATGACCACGATAGTTTAGGCTGAAATCACTGTTTTCCATAAGGAGGAGAGTGCATCAACGTCAGGTTTACAGGAACTGAACAATGTGTGTGGTGGAAAATATTAGTAGTAATAATAGTAATAAAGAAAAACTTTTATTTTATAAACTCTTGAATATAAAAACCACTCCCCTTTTATTTACAGGGAAGTCTCACCCAAGTCCAATATGGTGGCGTCGTTGATGTATGATCCAGCGACCACTGCGTACGTCTACGTATATATGTGTATGATCAGATAGATGTCAGAAAGCAGAGTGAGGTGAGTATCAACACAGTAGGAACCTTAGGAACACAAGAATCTCTGTTCACACACAAATGAGATTTTCCTTTAAAGCTGAAGCTGGAGCGTCTTTACCTTCTGCAGCAGCAGAGAGCCGGAGTACGTGGTGGTGAGTTCCCGGAGCTGGACGGAGAACACCGACGCCCACTGCTGCACCCTGTAACACACACACACACACACACACACACACACACACACACACACACACACACACACACACACACACACACACACACACACACACACACAATAACAATAAATAACAACTCTGGCTTCATGAAATCAGTGGAGAAAAGTAACTAAGTACATTCACTCAAGTCTAATCATTTTTATTTGACTTATTTGACAACTTTATTTACAATTATTTACGCACAAAACATCTGATCATCCTATAAATTATGATGCAGTTAAAGGAAGAGAAGATTAGCTTCATCTGTACTATACTACTAATACTCTTCTAAATATAATATATTCTAACAGTGAAACACTTCTACGCTCTGAATACTTTTACTTGATAATAATTTGAACTTTAACTCAAGTATAACTTCAAACGCAGGACTTTAACTTGTAATGACGTGTTGTTACAGCGTGTTGTTGTATGTTACAGTCTAAAGGAAGATCTCCATGTGTTGTTTGATTATAAAGCAGGTCTTGGTTCTATATTAAGGTGATGTTTCTATTCTTAATCTCACCTGCTAAGCGCTAATCTCTGATTGGCTCATTTGTCACTCAGCACAACATGCAGAGATCCAAATCCAGCTGCAGTTTGACCCAGACTGAGGTAACCTAACAATAAACTTAAAGCTCCTCCAGTGTAAAGGTCTGTGTCCATGTGTAGTGTGATTATAGATCAGGTCTAGCTTCTATATTAATACTGTGAAAGTATCAAAGCCTCAGTCCACAGAGAAATGCACACAGCCTGTATTCAGAAACTGAGCCTTAAAACCAGCCGTCAGGACTTCTGGAACTTTGTGATGTCACAACAAAGCAGTCACCAAGCCCCGCCCACCTGGACCCACCATCCAAACCTTGCAGGATTTGGTTTCTCTGACTATTTTTACCTGAAATCTGCTGTATTTTTATTGGATCACTCAGAAACCAGTCAGCCAATCAGAAGAGAGAAACAAACTACAACAGATAACAGCAGTGACCTGAACTTTTCAACCTTCAGATATCGAAATCAGCGTTGGATGTGTCCCCGCGATTTTTTCGGGTGTCTGTTGCCGCGGCGACGCTCTGCAGGAGCAGCGAGTTATGCGGCAGAAAAAGGCCGTTAAATGTGACGGTGATGAAAGAGATTTAGATAATCTGCTCTTCATCTGGGTCACAGCAGAGAGCTGCAGGTGTCTGCTCAGCACAAACTCACAATCACACAACAACACAACAACAACACAACAACGACACAACAACACAGCTGCAGGCAGGGGTTGAATTACAGAAGAGCCTGAAGGAGCTGAAATCAGGTGTCAGGAAAAAACACCTGACAACATTATGTTACAAGAGATCTCCGCACACCTGAAGAAAAGTCTAAATGAGGTTTCATCACTTCCCTGCTCAGTCGTCTGCTGCTCTTACGTCCCAGTGCAGCACAGTTCCTCCACTCCAATATTACTGTTAATCTCTAATTAAAATATCATCACCTGAGTGTGAAACAGGTGCAGTGAATGAAAGTGAAAACGCTGCTCACCGTCGACCTCCCTGCTGGAGTTTTCACCGATGTTCAACTGTTTATAATGATGTAATAACACAAGAAAATCTAATATAAATCTGAAGAAAACTTCATCTTTTGTCATTAAGGCAGATGATGTTTGTTACTTTATCTACAGAAAAATGAAGGTGTTGTTATGATCTGTGCTGTTTTCCTTGTTTTACTTTTGTCAGAAAATATTACAATAGGTTTTAAAAAACAGTTTTTCACACCGAATAAGACAGAACACTATGACTTTCTTATTTATATCATTTTATGTTTGTTGTTATGTTTGTATATATAGTTTCATTCCTCAGTTATTAAAGAAATAAAATGATTTAATAGAGCTATCTCTGATTTTGATTTTATATAGTTTGGAGTTAGTGTTGAAATATTGTCTATGACTTAATATGAACCCCAGGAAGAGTTCTGTTATAATATAATGGCGCCTCTAAATCTAAATAAATAAAGACGTGTCCAAAGTTACAGAAATGAGAAGTTATAAAAAACAAATACGAGCTGTTGTTTGTTTGGTTTTTAATCTGCCTCAGTGAGGAGAGGATATCCAGTCCAGGTGGTAAATAACTACAGGTACAGGATGAAGAAAGTGTGAAGTCAGCACGGACTCACACACACACACACACACACACACACACACACACAGGCGTGTGTGTGTGTGTGTGTGTGTGTTTGCTCAGCATGTGTTGAAGAACGGAGGAGTTTATTGTTCCATCTGTTCTGGACATTAATCCTCTGAGATCAGTGCGCGCGCGCACACACACACACACACACACACACACACACACACACACACACACACACACTGTGTATGTTTAAAAATACATCGTGCAGTTACAACAGCTTTCACAACAGTGGGAACTGATTATTTTCCTGATTAATCCATTAATTGTTTAATCTGAATAGTTAATAATGATATAATAGTCTTGTCTTGTCAACAGTGAATTACAGGGAAACATAAACAGCAGATCCTCAAACTGGAATAATTGTTAGATTATAAATAACTCATCAAGTCAAATGATCTTTTTAAATTCTTCAAAATAAAAATAAAACTGTTACTGTCGCCATAAATCCTCGCTTTTCTCACCAGGATATAAACTGCAGGATCTTTTGTATAATACAATTCAATCATCTAAATATTAACCTTATAAATAAGCCCTGATATCAACAGTGCTGATCATGAGTCGGAGCCGCAGCAGCGACACGATTCAGGGTTTAAGTTCGTTAAGAGTTGGTAAAATACTCAGATTCAGGAAGTAACAATTATTCACATGAAGTGTTTTGTCTCGTGTGCGTCTCTCTCTCTCCACAGGCCTCAGCAAAGACAACCAACATGGCCGACCAGCTTAAAGCTTCCAAAGTCAACGAGACCACTCACGGTCCCGTGTTTCACTATTCAGCCATCATCGTGTGTTATTGTGGAGAAGTTACAGCGTATCGTGTGACCTGTCAGATCATGTGACCTGTCAGATCGTGTGACCTGTCAGATCGTGTGACCTGTCAGATCATGTGACCCGCAGCAGTGCAGCAAACACTTAAACGCAATTGCACATAAAATACCGGAGAACAATAAAGAGCATGAGTAAAATCGCGGCGCCTCACACACTGGACCTGCTGGGGTCAGAGGTCTTGGTGAGAGCGAGGTCGGGTCATTGTGCGGTTTATATTTTACGTTACTCTGGTTTTATCTGATGCCGATCATCAGCGAGGACACAGAGCTGATGAAAACACACATCAGCTGTTGGGGGATCAAACCTTTGAGTAACAATCCTTCATAAATCCCTGTGTGCGGCCTTCAGCTCTCCACAGATTTACTTTTTTAGCCTGAACTCAAGGTTTTAACAAAACAGCTCGTCGAATCACGAACAGACGCCTCCAACACACTGAACTTTAACCTGCAACTTCAATAATTCTGTTTAAAGCTCCACTTCTTCTTCTGTGTTTTATTTGAAGTGTTGATCCATAAGAAGATATATTTGTGGTTAGAGAGGAAGCTCTGAGCCTCTCTTCTGATTGGCTGACTGTTTTCTGAGTGAGCCAATAAAAATAAAGCAGATTTCAGGTAAAAACACTCAGAGAAACCAAATCCTGTAAAGGTTTGGATGGTGGGTCCAGGTGGGCGGGGCTTGGTGACTGCTTTGTTGTGACATCACAAAGTTCCAGAAGTCCTGACGGCTGGTTTTAAGGCTCAGTTTCTGAATACAGGCTGTGTGCATTTCTCTGTGGACTGAGGCTTTGATACTTTCACAGTATTAATATAGAAGCTAGAGCTGATCTATAATCACACTACACATGGACACAGACCTTTACACTGGAGGAGCTTTAAATAAACCAAGCCAGTCTTGAAAAACTATCTTCAAAAGAACATGGAGTCCTGCATCAGACGGTCCGGTCCCCACAGAGTCCTGATGTAATCCTGGGATTACATCAGGAGAGAAGAACTGTGTCAGGTTCTCCAAGATGTTCACTTTACTCCCATTACCTAAAAGGTTTGCACAGTGCTGTAAATCAGCTTATATCAGGCCAGTGAAGTGGACAGTCAGTCCCAGGTCTCCTCATGACTCTCTGGCCACATATGAAGCAGCGTTTTTTTTTTCCATCTGTCACCAATTCTGACTAAAAAATGCCAAAAATAAATAAAAAAATAAATCCTCCATCAAGATCACCTCCACAATCTAATCAGCTGATCTTTGGTGCAGAGGCTGATCTGTCCACCCACAGATTAAAACCACATCTGAATGTAACCTGGACACACAAAGAACACAGTCATCCAATGAACCTGGAGGCCACAACCTACAGGAAGAAGGTCAAACAGTCAGCAGTGCAGACGGTGACATAATAAACACAGAAACCAGAAGCCCGGAGCTCGGAGAAGAGCTGGACTGTCGGGATATCTCAGTTTAGGATGATTAAAGACGATTTACAGCCGACCACAAACATCAGGTTGATGGTTTTTTAATGTGAACGCCTTGTTCCTACTTTCTACCTTGTGGACGTCCAAACGTTTAACGGGACGTCCCCCCCCCCCCTTTGGGTTAAAACCCAATCACAGTTCAGTGCCTCTGCACAACACCAGGCTCAGTACGCTGCGTGTTTCAGACCGGATGAGGGTGGTTTCCAGGGGTTTAGGTGAGTCTGACGGCGGTGGTCTCTGTCCAGGCCTGCAGCCGTCGCTCTCTGGTGGTGAATGTGGGTCAGGGTAGAAGGTGACCCCGGCTGATGGGGCGTGGCCGGCGGCCAGCGGCCAGCGAGCCATGCTGGCCCGCAGATGGTGATGGAGGAAGGGAAGCTGCAGCGGCGCAGCTGCAGAGTGACACCTTCATGCTAACGAGGCTGTTAGCATCAGAAACTACAGAGAAGAACTCGGCGCCACCTACGGACAAATCTGTGGGACCTCACTTCTAAACCTGCGTATACCACGGTGATGAGTGTCACTTGTTAGAACCAGTTCTTCTGTATGTGAAAATATAGCTCCATTTAAACCCCATTGAAATAAAAAAGATAACGTGAAAAACTGAATGAATTTAGGTCAGTCTGAACAGCCGGTGGATGACTGTGCTGCTCTGTCATAAGCTGCTCCAACAACTCTGGTAAAAATGGAAAGTAAAAGCCACTAAAAAGCTCTGAGACTGAATAACTCCCACGTTCATCTGCTCTCAGTGTCAGCCGCCAGATTCATTCATTTGTCCCAGATGGTCTGACAGGTGAATTATGGGAGGTGTAGTTTAAAATGTGCACAAAGGAACAGTTATTGAGGTGGTATTCATTAAAGCTCCTCCAGTGTAAAGGTCTGTGTCCATGTGTAGTGTGATTATAGATCAGCTCTAGCTTCTATATTAATACTGTGAAAGTATCAAAGCCTCAGTCCACAGAGAAATGCACACAGCCTGTATTCAGAAACTGAGCCTTAAAACCAGCCGTCAGGACTTCTGGAACTTTGTGATGTCACAACAAAGCAGTCACCAAGCCCCGCCCACCTGGACCCACCATCCAAACCTTGTAGGATTTGGTGTTTTACCTGAAATCTGCTGTATTTTTACACAGGAACGAGTTTAAACAAAGAATAATATAAAATTTTCGAGAAACTAAGTTGGTTGAATATTTTTTTATCTGTTCTTGTTCTCTCTTTGTTCTCTCGATGTGTTTTTTAATCTGTTTTAATCTGTTTTTTAATCTGTTTTTTAGTTTTAGAGAGTGTGCAAGATTTCTGTGCTCATGATTTTTTGGACGGTTCTTGTTAAACTGTTGAATTCAAGTTATTTTGAAAAGTCTGATGTAGCTGTTTCTCTGTGAATAAAGTGTGTATCTGTTTGTTTAGGTTTTGGATCTGGCAGGTGAGGAGGATTATGCCTCCTGTTTGAAGACTGTGTGTTACGGTTTAAACCTGCAGCAGGTGAGAGTTGAATTTGAAATGAAACGGCAGATATGATGAAGCTGAGTCTGCAGCCGGAGCACCTGGAGGCAGAGGGACGGAGGAAAAGCAGCTTTCAGCTCAGAGTCCTGAGGGAGAACTGCAGCAGCCTGTCGACACGAACATATTCCCTCAGGATCTTCGTGAAAACAGGGTGCATTCTGGGAGTTGGTCGTCTGAAGCTTCCATTTATCTGAAACGAGTCCAATCAGGACTGATGTCTATAAGCTCTGCGACGTCCACACAGACTGACACACTGACACCGGGAGCTGCCGGCAACACCGGCATCTACCGAGCGAACGTGACGGTCAACAGACCCCTGACACGCTTTAGTCTTTAGGGCTTCAGCTGGTGGTGCCTTCAAATTAAATGTTTCATCATCTTACAGATAAAACACGATGTCAACATGTTTTAAAATGTTTAATTAACAGTTTTTTCATCCTGACTTTAAAGCACCTTCCTCCTAACGTCACTGCGAGAATATTACAGCCTGAAATCATGAACTTCAGCTCCAGTAACGACGTGTTTACAGGATAATATCATATCCACATTAGCACATTATTTATTCCCAAACTCTGTCCTACAAACGTCCTACTGTTTAACCCTCCTGACCTGATGGTGGGTCGGTCGTTCAAACCCACAGAGCTTTATTTTAAATTCTAGTTGAGACCCCGACGTTTCCAAACATATGGACTGTGTCGCGGTGGATTGTGGGTAAATGTGTCTGAAAAGATGCAAAAGACAAAGAGGATATTTCCCTTTCACAGAGAAGCCGCAGCTGAGATCCTGGAGAGGAAGACGAGGAGGGGGCACTTACGTCTCCGGTGGGATCTTCATCTGAGCCTGAGCTGTAATCCACAGGCAGAAAAATCCCAGAATCCTCAGGAGCTTCACGAATCCCGGCGCCCTGCCCTCCATCCTGCTTCCGACAACCCGGGTCGTCGAGCTCTAAAAAGTTTTGGAGTCAGTTTCACAGACTGGGGTCAGCTCTGAAAGTTCATGAGGAGTTTGTGGGAAACGGCTTCCTCATGTTGGCTACAGCGAGCAGGTGAGGATGAGGACGACGACGGTGGAGGTCACGGCCATGGGTTTTAGACCCTGAACGCTCTCTGTCACGTCTGGATGAACTCGTTCTGCTGCCGGCATCTTCTCATGATGTCCAGGGAAACTTGCAGAAGATTTTAAAGACTTTTTAAAGAGTTCTAGTAACAGGAAGCAAAAATTTATATCTGGTGCAAGAGGAAGAAGAAGAAACTGGTCCTTCTTTGAGGCTGGAGGGAAAAACGTGATTGAAAGTTTCCTCTGCACCTGCTCCAGGTTCTTCCAGGTCTCTCCAGGTACTTCCAGGTCTTTCCAGGTTCTTCCAGGTTTCTCCCCAGTAATGAGTGAGTTAATTTCTTCACCTTGCAGATATTTAGGGAGACACAACGCCAGCAGCCTGCAGCAGATTTTGCAGCCGCTCGCCTCCACTGTCGCCCAATTTGCGACGTAATCCACTTGGATTAAAAACTCCTCTTCCCCATGGAGAGAGAGAGAGAGAGAGAGAGAGAGAGGGGAGAGAGAGAGAAAAAGAGAGGGGAGGGATTGGAGCAGGGGATTGGATGAGGGCTCTGTTTTATCTAAGAGGATTAGAGTGATTTCTGGAGACAGACTCTCCTGCGACCAATCAGAGCGGCCGGAAGAGAAAACCCCCCGAGGTTCAGTTTGGCTGAGAGAGAGAGAGAGAGAGAGAGAGAGAGAGAGAGAGAGGGAGGGGCCAGCAGTGACATGATGCCCTGACACACACACACACACACACACACACACACACACACAAACACACACACACACACTGATGAATCACATACTCTCTCTGTTCGTATTAATTATTGTCGCCTGTGGACGGATTCGTCCTGAACTCAGACGACCAGCAGGTCTGACCACACACACACACACACACACACACACACACACACACACACACACACACACACACACACACACACACACTCCCAGGTTTCAGTCTACATTCCTGATCAGACCTTAAATCTAATCTGATAAAAACATAATTAGAAGAAAAGATGCTCACTAATTACAGTTCAGCCCTCCTCCTCCTCCTCCTCCTCCTCCTCATCATCATCATCATCATCAAGTCTCAGTCCCACCTGAACGACCATGCCCCTACGGCGCCAGGCATACTGAACCTTGGTTGTCATGGTTACAATCATAAACACACAAAGTGTAATGTAAGCAGGGTACCCAGACCTTCGTCTCCATGGTTACATTAACATCTGCACCTGGCTTGGTTAGGTTTAGGAAAATATTGTGATTTGGGTTAAAAACTTCCTTAAGAGTTGATCTTTGTTGTCATGGTTACAATGACAACAACGTCGTTAAGGTTCTTGAATGCAAATTTTGTTGACCTATCCATCCACCCCAACCTCTTCTTAATGCAGACTATGCTGCTCTTTATACTACGTCACCTGACTTCCTCCTTTGTATTCAGAAACTGAGCCTTAAAACCAGCCGTCAGGACTTCTGGAACTTTGTGATGTCACAACAAAGCAGTCACCAAGCCCCGCCCACCTGGACCCACCATCCAAACCTTGCAGGATTTGGTTTCTCTGAGTGTTTTTACCTGAAATCTGCTATATTTTTATTGGATCACTCAGAAAACAGTCAGCCAATCAGAAGAGAGGCTCAGAGCCTCCTCTCTTCTGATTGGCTCACTGACCTGTTGTTACTAGAGCTCCAGAGAGAAGCCTGAGAGAGGAGATGTAAAACTACACTGAGATGGTTTTATATCTTCTGATGGATCAACACTTCAAAATAAAACACAGAAGAAGAAGAAAATATGGAGCTTTAACAGGAGATGAACTTTATTTTTAACACTAAGAGTCTTGACTTGTAACGTTAGAGGATCCATCAGTAACTTCACCTTCGTCTGATCACCTGTCAGAACTCCTTCACCCTCACTCAGGTGGAAATCACCGAGCCTGAAGGCATCAGGTGTTCAGACGCAGAAATCACTCTGATCTCTGATCTGAGAGCAGGTCGGCAGCCGTTCATTAATTATTGATCAGGAGCCACCAGAATAACCACGGGGTGATCAATAAGATCAGAGTGTCAGAGAAGATCTGATCCTACTCTTCTGTGACCGACTGCTTCATCACATCCACACTGTGGACTTCATGAATGACACTAGTTATGAGTATCTGTACAGCACCTCATAGTTAATTATAGTTAAAAACATTGATAAAAGCAAAACTAACTCAAATCAAATCCATTATTTTCCTTAAAAGAAATAGAAATCTGTAAAATCTGGATGACAGGAGGATGGAAACACGTGCTGCTGCCTCCAGTCTGGAGAATAATGAGTCAACAGCTCCCTCTAGTGTTAAAAGCTGTGACATACAACTAACTACAGTGACACGTTTATGACTTTCTTATGTAAACTGTGAATGTTTATGCCTTTTGTTTTTTTATGTAAACATGTTAAAACACATTTCAGATTTTAATCACATGATGCACATGTGCTAAAGTCACATGATGTTGGTGGTTTTAGGACAATTTACATGTGAAACATTTAGTAAATGTCCGGAATAATCAACTAGATCTGTTTAGATCTATAGGGAACTATTCCTGTTATGTACTGCAGGTTATTGCGCAAACATTAGGAAGCACTTATTTACTGTAAATACACGTGAACAGCTGATTTAAATGTAGGAGTGACATGTATAATGTAAATATTTCCCTTCATCCTTCAGAGGGTTTTTCTCACTGATCAGGTTTAAATAAACAAACTGTTCTCATCATTTTTATGATCCTGATCATCAAGTTCAGTCATCCTTCAAGTTCCTCACACCAGCACATTCTTCACTTCTCAGAACTGTGTGTGTGTGTGTGTGTGTGTGTGTGTGTGTGTGTGTGTGTGTGTGTGTGTGTGTGTGTGTCAGAGAAACTAACTGTGTGATTTACTTTCAGCTCCGACACTGAGACCACACTGTTACCAGATCCTCCATGATACCCTGAGGACCTGGAACCCACCTCATCAGCACCTTACAACACACACACACACACACACACACACACACACGCACACACACACACACACACACACACACTTACTCTGTAATTCACTTTATTCAGTTTGTGTTCAGACACGTTCGCTTCTGGTTTCACACAGAAACAAACCCAAACTATTTGTTTAGATTCATAAATATTTTGATTTGATCATTTAAGCAGTGGTTTCCAACCTGTGGGCCGGGGCCCACTGTTGGGCCACGGAGGTATTGCAAGCCGACAAATCATGTGCAAAACAGTTCAATTATGGTGAAAAGAAAAAAATGTAAATAAAAAATATAAATAATATAATTTTTTATATGTTTTAAAGGGAAATGATCTTTAAAAACATTAAAAATGTTTAAAAACACCTTTAATTGTTTAGTTTCTTTTCTTGTATTAAGGTCTATCACTGTGATAAGCCAATCATAGGAACTTTTGTGATGTTGCCGCTCGGAGCACATTATAAATCTGTTTACCTTTTCAGTCTGACAGAAACTGGAGAATGAAAGTGGATCGCTGGTTAGAAACAGGAAGAATTAAAAGGAAAGAGAGTCAAGAGACAGACGGTGAATGGAAAAGTGATCTTTCCTCTGTCAAACAAAAAAGAACAAAGTGAACTTCTCCTGCTTTTAGTTCTGAATGTTCGATCGCTAATATTAAAATAAAAACTGCTCTGAGTCATTATCACGCCTCCATGTTGTTACGGAGTCGGATGCGGATCCGCAGCATTTTTGAGATTCTGAGTTGGAGAAAAGTTCCTGTGGATAAGGTTGTTTTGAGTCGACTTGCACCTGACCAGGTGAGTCCTCCTCTCACTGAGCTGCTGTTGATTCTTGTATCTGAGAAAATCTGAATTTCTAAACACACTGCTGTAAGAGCTGAGTAATGAGATATAAAAGTTAATAAAAGTTTCCCTGGTGATTGATCGGTGTTCGCTCTCAGGTTGTTCTGCACGCGCTCAGTACACCAGCCCCTCCCCCTCCCCTCTCTCTGCAGCAGTTGTACATTAATGTGACACCTGAGTTGTGTGACACGTAGCGTGACATGCCAGTCACCGAGCCGGAGCGTCATCGGGCTCCTCTTCACACCCACCCCGGGGTCAGAGGTCAGGTGGTGTCCATAGCAACATGCCAGTTACATAACCTCTTTCCCACACACACACCCACACACACACACACTGCTCTCACTTTCAGTAAATACTGATCGGTTTCACACTGATGTTACGTAACTGTGTTCTTCTGAGTTTTATTTTAGCTGCTGTTTGTGCTTCATTCACAAAAACACACAAACACACCGAGAGAAACTTCGATGAATACATGATAAAGATTTCCAAAAGGTCGTCATTAAAATATATGTTGACATTTCAAAATATAAAATCCAATAAAGTTCTTCTAACTACTCTGAACAGCCAATCAGAGAATACATTTCGATTGAAAAGGGAGAGGATTAAATGTGAAACCATTTAATTAAAAGTTAAAACTTCTGTTTCTTTGCTTAATAATATAATCAATGTCATTATTATGTAACTGTTTTTGGAGGGAAAAGGGAATAAGATTAGATTTATATGATCTACTGCAAGTTTTTTCTGCCGCTGAATGTTGCGTTCACGAGACAAGAGGTTGCATACGTCGTTTGAGCAGCGCTGCGTCTTCAGGGCAGACTGGAGGCTACAGTGAGTCGCTAGTGGAAAGTTAAGGGCCTGCTAGCTGGTTAGCATGCTAACTTCAGTGCGAGAAAAGACGTGGTAGAGACAAGAGGTAACATTGCCTGTGGTTTTTTTCCACCTCTGGAGACAGCTGTTGGTGAGTAAAAGGAATGAAGTTGGATGCTGAACTTGCCACGTTTCTTCTAGACTGGTAAGTAAACAGCTGCTAATGCTAACGTTAGCTTTGTAGCGATAGTAAAACTTGCAATAGCTCCTTTAAGAAGCTTGATTAGCTTCTTGCAATGAGCAATGGGGTCAATGGGGTTTACAAGACAAGAGGTTACAACACGTCCACTGAGCAGCTACTTCTTCAGACCGAGCGCTACAGTGACTCGGTATTGGAAAATGACGA